TGTGTGTGTGTGTGTGTGTGTGTGTGTGTGTGTGTGTGAGAGAGAGAGAGAGAGAGAGAGAGAGAGAGATGCTGTAAGATTCCTTCTCATTAACCTTTGAAGTCTATAGGGCACTTTTTCAAATGTTGCATTATAAAGCTTAGGCCAAACAGCAACACTTCTTAGGGTGCAACTGGAAAGGAGGCTGTGCTGGGTTGATTCAGAGTTTCCTATGGTAATTAAATCACTCTTGTCCTTAACAAGGAATGTTTAATTATCCCAGGCAATTTTCAGGGAAGGAGTCTATGCCGCACCTCAAATCTCTGCAGTTCTTACTGGGATCACAGGTCCCCCACCTTCTTTTGTCATTAACACTGTCTTCTTCCCAGACTGTTTTTTTCCAAGTTGGCAAGTGAAATAGCACTGAATTGCTATCATAACTTGGGAAACGGCAGGACTTGCAGTATCTGAAGTAGAGCTAAATAGGAAAAGTGTAATAAAAAGTTTGTTCAGAGTAGAAGCAAGAAGTTCAGTTGAGGGGGATATTCCCATGGTATTTGCATACCATTTCCATTCAGTAGGAACATCTTGCCTCTTGTATCTTTTCCAAACAATTTTCACAATTGTGATTTTACAGTTTAGCGCTATGTCAGATAAGCACTGCAATTCCATATGTTCTTATACAGTGGTGCATCGACTTATGAACTTAATCTGTATTGGAATGGTGTTCGTAAGTCGAAATGTTCGTAAGTCGAAGCACCATTTCCCATAGGAATGCATTGACAATGGATTAATCCATTCCAGCTGAAGAAAAAAAAAATCACCAATAAATAAATAAATAAATAAAACACAGGCAAGCCCGGTCGGAAGGTGCTCTGTTGCTGAATAAGAAGAAGAAAAATCCTCCAGAAAGAAACACTAAAGCCATCAACAACACAGCACGGAAACATACCTGCCCCAGCCAAAACCCACCGATAACAGTTTTTTTAAAAGGAGAAAACAGCAGCTTATCTCCCTGCAGACAGACAGACAGACAGACAGACACACACACACACATGCTCACTCCGAAGCAGAAGGATGCTCTCCCAAGCCTCCGACGATGACTATGACACACACTGTGACTGCCAAAAGTGAAAGAGCTACAGTACAAAGCAGCCTCGTTGCCACCTACAGTTAGAAATCTGAATTGCCTGCCTTTTTCCCCTGCCTTTTTTCTGTTCGTAAGTGGAAGCTCCATTTGCAAGTCTAAGCAAAATGTTGCGACTATAGCTGTTTGTGAGTCGAAATGTTCGTAAGTAGGGACGTTCATAAGTTGAGGCACCATTGTATCAGTTCAGCACTATATCACTTACCCATTCTTTTTTTAAAATGCTGTACAGTCAACATTGCCCTTGGACGCCTCTGCCACTGCCCCTTTGGACAATATAGGCAGTTACACCTTCCAGAAACAAACAACAAAAAAGCAGTGTGAGTAGAATTGCGACAAAAGAGCGCTAGACTCTTGCTGGCTGAACAAAAACCAGAGAATACCCATGGAAAAAATGTGTTATCTATACATTATGTTCTCAATGGAAAATACATTGAATTTAACTTTGCCAACTTTGGCACAAACTTTGGGGTAAACTGCAATATAGTTGTACCTTTTGTCTTTTTAGGTGCCACAAACCACCTTGCTTTTTTTTTGCTACAGCAGATTAACATGACTAACACCTTAGACATTTCAGTCAATGACTGGTGAATGTTATGCTTCCCCTCAGATTGTGGACACCTTCTTCATCGGCCGTTTTGTCCTGCTCTCCATCTTGAGCGTCGTTTTCCTAGGGTGCCTGTTTGTGTTTCTGATCCATCACATCATGCAACCTGTGTACGCCAAGCCAATAAGAGTCCCCTCATAAGAAGGCAAGCTGCACATTGCCAGTGCTGCTCTGGCTCGAAGAAAATACATCGATGTAACAAATGGGAGAAGATGGATTTGCTTTAATGGATTATTTTATTTCCTCCTCTTCATTATGTGAAATCCCAAGCTGTGTAAGATACAGCAGTTTATAAATTTCAGTTTTAATAAAGACAGTATTGTTGAGTCCTAACACTGTTTTTCATGTTGTTTTTCCACCTTGAATTTGCCTTTACCTCCTTTGGAAAGTATGTTTGTGCAGTAGTATAGTTGCACAAGAGCACAGATGTCTGCTCTTATTTTGGCACCATGTCAACTTGTAACTGCCTCTTTTACCAGGGTGACTTATTAAATAAATATTTTTTTCATAAGTTAAAATGCTGATTTGATTTGTAACTAGTTTCTGTTTTCCCCTCTCTGTATAGAGACAGATAGCCTGAGTATTTCTTTGTAGTGCCTTCTGTATTTAGTGGGTTTAATTTAATGGATCCCTGAGGGCTTATTTGTTGTCTCCCCCTCCTTCTCGACACAGGTGAGAGATGCTAATGAGTCCCTCTGAGAAGTCACTTGGCTGAGTTCTTACAGGAGGACAAGAGATCATTTTTCATAGTCACCAGATTATTGTTGTCCACTTTTAGAAAGTATAGAGAAAGCAGCCTGTATCCAGTTTAAAGTTTTCTCTTGGGGATGAATCTCACACTGAATTCCCCTCCCCAATCTTCCGAGTGTGAAATTTACTTCCACCTCTGCAGACACATGTAGGAAAAATGTAATGTCTGAATGGGTGAGTCAGAGGTCTCATCTGCAAATACAAATGCCCATGATGTCTGGCATTCCGGTATAGCTGATGGAAAGGTCATGTCATGGAACATATGGTATATAAAGTAAATAAATAAATAAGATCAATATATTACAAATACATTGTGTGCATGCAACTTTTTTAAAATCCTCATTAATCACTAATAGTGCAGCCATTCCTCAAGAATTACATGCCCAGGATTGCATAGATGCTAAACATATTCAGTATCATATCAGTTCCCTGTTCTAAACAATCTCATATCTAACACACAGCATTTGCAAACTAATCGTTCTGTATATATTAATGAGATGGGAGAAGCCATAGCTCTGTGTCAAAGCACACATTTTGTATGCAGGAGATTGATGGCAAGTCCAAGTATTATTTTAACTTTTTTCTAAAAGAAGACTCACATCATCTTATAACTATAATATTAAAAAGTTCAAATGATGGTGGGGGAAAGAAGTATACATGTAGCACATAATACGTATTTTAAAAGTGTCTAAGTATCAGAGAACTGCTGCCAGTCAGAGTGGAAAATATAGGCCTCGACAAACCAAAAGTGCCTGCATAAAATAGCTTTCTGTGTTCCAAACTGAATTTAACTTCAATTTGTTGAAGTTAAATTTAGTACAAAATTCCAAGCCATAAATGATCGCTTCCTATAGTCTTTTAAGAAGTGATAAAAGAAACCACGGACAACATAAAAATGCTCCCTCCAGCACACTAGAAGTCCTGTTCAGTGTGATTTTTCTACTTAGTTTTATTCAGGGTTAAATAAAACTAAATTTACTAAATAAATAAAACGAAATCTACTAAAATCAATTTGCTGAAGTATGATTTAACTACACTTCAAAAATTTTATTTATCATAGATATGCGGGCTAGAAAGCTGGCTTTTGAAATACATGGGAGTCTGGCTTCCTCCATAATCTGAATTCTGCAACTAGGACTGCATGCTAATGTGCATAGCGGAAATTGCAGAAGTTTGTAATGGTTACTATTGGAACTGTCAAAGGAGTGTAGTTGGAAGGATTTTTATGCCTGTACATGATGCTGCCATGTTAATTCTGGTATACCTTCGTTAGGATGAGTGCCCTAACAATGTATCATTTCCCCGGTTCTTTACATTGCTTTTTTCCCTCTTTGCAATGAGTGGTTCCATAACTTGCAGATATTAAATAGCCTCTCCTTTGGCTTCTCATCTTTGCTCTTGCTCAGTTATCCTCTGCAGGCAATTCTAATTTCCCCTGGACTGAGCTCTCCCATTTTGCTGGCACTAACTGCAGAATAATTTTCATTTGGCCTAAAAAATTAAACTGAAATGGGAGAACAGCCCCTCTGTCTCCTAGCGAAAGAGGCAAGTGAGATGGCAAAGGGCTCTTTCTAACAAGATAGTAGATACATTTTCCAACTTCATTAAAAATACTTGCTCTGGGAGTGATTTTTAAAAACCCACAGAATAATTCTAAAATAGCCAAACCTCCTTATTTTTAACAAGAAGAATAAGTAGGAAAGTAATTGGCCAGCTAAGGAATACTTAAAAACTCAGCAAATAACAGGGAAACTTCCTAAAATAGATTGTCAATGTTTCCATATCATATATTAATTGGCAACAGTCCATTTGGAAAGTCATAAAAACTTGGGGAGGTGGCAAGAAATTGCAAAGGAAAAGCTGCTGGTGTCCTTGAAATTTTTTAAAGGTTCTTATACCTGTACTTGTGGTGGCTAAGTAATAAGGTTGTGATTTCATTTCTACAGAGAAAATGATGAATTATATGAGCCTAATAAAAACAGGTAAAGTAGCAAATAACCTGTTTTTAAAAAAACCGCATTAGTCACAATTCAGCAGCAAGTCAAATTCAGGCCACTTAAATGAATGGTTTGAAACACCTAACTCAGTAGGATTTTGATGGCTGGCAGCGATCCAGCAGCATACTGAATTTATTGCCACAACATGTGGTGAGGATGAGAGATGTGAAAATCGTTCCATTTTGTAGCATTTCTCAGAAACCCACCAGCATTCTTTCCCTTTCTGGGTTCCGCATCTGATGACCCTATCTATTTGGCGCTCGCACAGAAATCCACCGATGGTTTTGGTATCCATTTTTTTTAGTATGCACAGTTTCCCTACTGTGTACATTTTGAGAAACTTTGGAGGCTGCTTTGAATGTAAGACGATATTGTTGTGAAGACACATTGCTCTGAAGGCCCTGGTCTCCAGGGAGAGAGAAATAGGGTTGCCAGATGAGCATCATTCCATCCCCAAAGATTTCAGTGTGGAGCCCGAGACCCTGGTCATGAAGTTCTAGTGGGAGTGCTGTCTCTCACCAAGGCGTCTAAGGGGATACAGACTACTCCACCCCCTTCGCCACATAGGATGGGACACAGAGGAATAGATACCTGGGACTTAGAGATGGGGATAAAATAGTTAACCGTCTCTACCCAGACCGACCTGGAAATGGCAGGAAAAAAGGAGAGGGGGCGGTCTGAGGTGGAGGCAGGAGCAGGGGATATAAAGATGGACCGGGACAACATACTGGGGGGTTGGGAAACGATATGGATGCAAGACCCCTGGACTGGTCGTTGGGAGCAGGTCAGAGTCCCTAAGCAAGAAGCTGAAAATAGAAGGAAGGAAGGACACGCGAGTGGTGTTGTCGCCTGAGGGAAGAGAAGGAGGCGTCAGAAAGAGAAAGAGAGGCCCGCAAAGCATGGCATTTGAAGGAACTGAAGAAGATGGGCTGTTACCTGGACCGTGGGATGTCCAACAGGGAGAGGGATCCCCACTTTGAGGATGGTCGGGAGATGAGGAAACCCTCCCATTATTGACTCCTGAGAGCAATGAAGAGTTAACCCACAAGAACCCGGACGGGTCTTGGCAGGACCTTGGGAACCTAAGTCTTTGAAACCGACAACGTGGTTGCCCTTGCAGTAGCCATTGCTCCCGCAAGAGACGTTTTTACCAAGCTTGCATGACGTTGATGTTTTATTACCTGAGTTAATAAATAAGAACAGTTCTTTTGAAGCAAAAACGACTGCTGGTTTATTTGAGGAAGGGGAGGTCCCACCATTCGAACCCTCACATTCAGGCCCAAAACATCTGACCAGGGATCAGACCCTTTTGATATTGCAGAAGCAGGGCAGACAGAAGCTGGGAGGGAAGGCGCCCGGAGGACGGATGAAGACTCATGATTCATGATTCTTCTGCTCCACTTCCTCACATGTTCCCAATGGCATGATGGGTATACCAGAAAAGCCAGAAACAAGGCAAGGAACTAAGAAACAGCCTGTGGACATGTCTACATGACACATCATGTCATTTGGACCAACACAAACAGAAAAGCTTTCACACTGGATGCTGGTGCCGCTGGGAAGGGTGGAGGTGGATGCCCAGGCTTCAAAGTCACTTTGAACACAAAAATCAAATGTTAGCTGTATGTCTTTACCTGCATATAATTTTAAAACCAAAACCAAAAATAATGCTTGCAATGTCCCCGCAATAATGGAGGAGCATTTTCAGGTTGCTCTGTGACGTCAAGTCAGAACTGACTTATTGCAACCCTAACCAGGCTTTCAAGGTAAGTGAGATATTTAAGGAGTGTTTTTACCAGTTTCATTCCCGCAGTGAGCTTCCATTGCTGAGCAGGGATTCAAACCCTGGTCTCCAGAGTTCTACTCCATTACTCTATCCACTACACCACTCTGGGTACCTATTAGTAGTCTTGCAGACCATGAATTGGACACATTTATACATAATCTCAGTGAATACCTATTTCTATATTCTTAAAGTGCTCAAATGGTGGGGGTGAGGAAGCTCTGCTATTCACCCAATGACCACCCAAAGAAGGCTTGGACTTGTTTTTCTATTCTATGCTGCTCAGTTCGGCACCGTCCGTCCGTCCGTCCGTCCGTCCGTCCGTCCGTCCGTCCGTCCGTCCGTCCGTCC